CACTGTATACACACACACACATACATATGTTGTATATGTACACTCACCGGCCAACTTATTGTGTACACATTGCTAGTAAAACGTTGCGCCTTATTTTGCCTTAGGAACTGCCTTAATTCTTCATGTCATACTTTCAACAAGGACTTGGAAACATTCCATGGGATTCAGGTCTGGTGACTGTGAAGCCACTGGAGTACAAAACCTGTTTGTGACGATATGAGCCCTGTGAGACGGTGCATTACCCTGGTGAGAGTAGAAGTGGGTACACTGTGGTCATAAAGAGATGGACATGGTAGGCCGCGGCATCAAAAGATGCTCCATTGGCACCAAAAGGGTCCAACTGTGCCAAGAAAATGTCACATCCACCATTAGAACACTGGCCTGAACCATTGTCAGGCAGGATTGATCCTCTTTAGACCAGGACATCATTTGACAACTCTCCAAGCCTGTAAAAATTGTTGTCTGACTTCCCTGTTCTTAGCTTGACCGGAGTGGCTTCACGGTGTGTCCATTTGACAAAGTCGATTTTCTGCTTTTCACCAGATTGTCTTCCGCAAGATCAGCGACGTGAAACGCGAGGAGGAGGAGAAGCTGAAGAGGAAAGACGAAGCTCCCCTGAACCTTCCGCCGGACCATCCAGTCCGGCGACTCTTCCAGCGCTTCCGGCAGCAGAGGGAAGCTCGACTTGCGGCCGAGCGGGCGGGTCAGGTCGCCGCTGATGTGGAGAAAGGGGCCCCTCACGCGGACCCCAGAGGTCCGCAGATACTGGCCTCTACCAGTATCGTCATGGTCGCCGAGAGCTCGGCCGTACCCACCACCTCCGTGGCATCCTGCTCGTCCGGAGCTTCCAGCAGGGTCATGCTTAACAACGCCGTTGTCGCCCAAAATGGCAACCTGACCGGCTGCAAATCCGCCGAGCCCTCAAAGGCCAAAGGCTGGGGGCGGTTCAAGGACTCGGTGGTGAAAGCCGAATCCTGGAGCAGGGTCTCCAAGGCCGAGTCCATGGAGACGCTGCCCGACAGAACTAAGTCTCACGATGAGATGTCTCTAAAGAAAACGGACTCCTGCGACAGCGGCATCACGAAGAGCGACCTCCGCTTGGACAACGCCGGCGACGCCAAGACGCCGCAGGAACGGAGCCCCGTCCAGTCCGGGGAAAAGACTATTTTCTGTCCCATCCCGGAACAGAGCATGCAAGCCTCTTTCCTTGAGCTGAAGCAGGAGTTAAAGAGCGACATTGGATCTCTTAACAGTCGCATGGCAGCGCTGGAGACCCAGCTCGCAGAACTACTCCAGCTTCTCAAATCTAGAAAGGCGTCTGACTCCGTTATTGGAATCTCTCGGCCTCCTTCGCCCGACTCCGATAAGGACAGCGCCGCTTAAATTGCGCTTTGATAACGTTGGGAGGAAACACACTTGAACTGGCAGCACATAGCAGAGGAAGAGCATCTGACAGCTGATGATAACTCTGCTCTTTCAGATATCATAGACTAGAGCTAGAATAAGAACAAAGGTAATATGAAGCAATTGTTTGCTCTAAGTCCTAATTGTCTTGATGGCACCTTTTGCTTTTAAGGGGAATTTGACCGCTTCAGACCCCCACAAACTGTTGGCAATAACTGATGGCTTTAACATCTTTAAATCGGGACTCTGGCACTGTGTTGATAGGCCTTTTGGTATCAGATGTTTTATCAGATAACTTTGCTTTAAGGGAAGCTCATGCAAAAAGTCTGTTTGTCTTCTCGTGAGCTTCTGGTACCGAAGCAAATGAGTGGAGTGTTCGAGGCTTTTATCACTGTGTTAACGCAAGTCAGGGTACAGGTCTGGTGGTATTGTCGGGCCTCTGTGATATCGTATCATATCACATCATATTATATCATTGTTTCATTCTTTCGCTCCTGAAAGCAGGAGGATTCTTAATAAGTCGATCACTGTGGAAGCAGCTTTTAAATAACAGCCTGTGGCTTTTAAATGGGGGCTGACTGACCAGATCTCACATCAGAACCATTTTTATTACAATTTCTTACAATTGAATGTACTCACTTTTCATGCAAACGAATCACTTTGTGCAGAGTTCATTGTGAAGTCCTAAATGTCATGTTTTGTTCTGAATGAATGTGAAAGATTCAAAGGGAAAATGAGGCCTTTACTGTCTCTGATACTTTACTCCTTGCACAGCTTTCAGCAATAGTGGGTGCCGTCCGATATCAAATGGTCCTTTCGTCACCTTGTTTTAAAAGAGCAGTTGTATTAGAAGATATTTCTGACTGACTGAATGAATTTGGAATATGTGTTGCTCATGTCTTTTTGTACTTGTACTCACTCAGCTCTCAGCAGATGAGGGATAGACAAAGTTACACTGGAGGGCTGAAAAGCCATTTCTACTAGTTCACTGACTTGGATGATCAGATTTCAGTGTGGCAAACCCCCCCACCACCAAACAAATCTATGTGCTTGTGTATACTGCTAAAATCTGCAAATATGGACCAAATTAACAAGTACAAAGCAAATCTATGCATTTGTGAATATAAGTAACTTTTAAAAAATGAGAAATCATAAGTAATTGACTTAAGGGACCACAGGCATGCACAAAATTGGCTGTTTGTGCTGCTTTTTGCACACATTTGAAAATGATTCGTATGCAGCGAAATCTGATTGGTGAGTCAAACTGACTATTCTTTTAGCATTCAGTCAGTTGTTAGCTTTGTACTCAGAACTGGCACCAACTTTGAAACATGTATGAATTGAATTGATTTGCACTTACAAATGTGGTTCATACATTTGCTTATCTGCTTTTGGCCTTACTTATATAATCCTTACATTTTTGTCTGCGTAACAGGACTTCAAGTCCACTCCTTGCAATATGAAAGATTATATCGTTAGGTAAAACTTAGATAAACTGGTATTCTTAGGTGTTCTATTGACAGCATAACATGAAAGGTTAATATTCAAGAAATTAGACATTGACTTGGATCTGACATGCAGGAGGGACCCTAAAACTAGTCAACCCTTTGAAATCACTGTTATCAGCTCTGATCAAATGTTGTCCGGCATATATTTTGTTTAGTTTGTTGCCATTTTCTCTTTACAACATTCTAATACCAGCAAGTTGGTTTAAATTCATTTTGATGGAACCCTTCAAGAATAGTGAACAGGAGAGGAGAAGAAAGCAAATCAGTGAAAATAAGATGTCCTGCGCTCTCATACTGATAGTTTCTCCCTGATGAATGGCATGAAGCTGCAAAAATCTTGTTTCAAAGCATCTTTCTGCCAAAGTAGACACAGGCTCAAGTTGCCCCTTTGGACCTAACAAAGTGCCCGAGCAGTTTTTTTGTTGTTTAGTTGTACGACCGAACCATCCATGGGTCACGGAGCATTTGGAAAAACAGCAGGCCCCTCTGGAATTTCTATGGCACACAAAACTCTCTAAATAACTTCCATCTTGAATCTTCGGTCCTTTGGATTGATGGAGATGAGGGCTTACAGAAGCAGTTTAAAAACCACAGAAAACATACTGAATGTGTCCAATGTGGGCTAGCCTAACCTACCTGCTCCCAACCAGCTAAGTGTGATGAATCTGAATTAGCAAGAGACAGGACATAGGACATGTAACATGAAAAAATCCCACTTAAACATGTTATCCAATTTTTAGAGCAGGCAAATGTTGATAAAGTGTGTCTTAGTAACAGAAAGCAACTGTTTCTACAGTTTCCTTTCTCTCTCCTCCATCCAGTTATCGGTGTGACACTCAAAATACAGTTTGATAGTTTAGAAAGTTTGATAACAGAATCTCAAACCGATATCAGATGTGAAGATTTCAACATGCATGAACACCTGTCCCACTTTTTTAGTTTTTACAAAACAAAATTTTTCAGAAATTTCCCACTATTCCCTTTTATTTAAATGCAATCTGAATTTCCTTGGCTTTGCTTATAGTGGTCAATAAGATATAATTACTCAGCCATACATTTTGTAGTCACACCAATCTGTGTTGACTTAATGCACATTTATGTTTGGTTGATATAGGCTGATGACAGGAAATATATTATATCATGTTTGGCTATAAAGTTATGTTGACCGGCTTTTCATCTAGTTATCAGCAAATAAGAGCACGCTTTTAAAAAAAATAATGAGAAAATGAACAGAATCTATTCAATTGAATGTTCTCGAAATGATGCTTGCCTTTTTGCTTGAAACAAGAAGATGACCTTTCTAATAAAAAAATGGACCTGATTAGTCTAAAATGTGTCAGAGATGTGCATTTGTCTTGACTTTGGTAAAAACATGTGTAGGTGTGATGTTATATTGTAACAATATGCAATTAATGCCATGACTTAGACCGGTCGTTGTCTGTGATACTTTTTTTTTGGTTATGCTGTTCCACGAGCACGCCGGTATAAACTCTGATGCACTTATATGAAGGTTGTCTGCTCTTGATGCATGATGCTGGTGTCTGAAAACTGTTTGTCTAAGAGAAAGACTGAAACCGAGTTGACTGCCTTCCTACCCAAACATGTCGGAGGACCTCCCCCTCCTCCCGCTGTCGGCTGCCTGTGTATTACGACTTGTGTCCGTGCATGAAGAGCACTTCAATGTTAAACTGTTTTTTGTATTTAGCGGTATCGCTTATGCACTGTTTTGCAAGCTCACGACCCTGCATTAACCACAGATACAGACTACTCTCATTTCTGTTTGCCACATGCAATCAAATCAAACTGTATCAGTGTAAGGATGATATAAAAAATGAAAGCAAATATCAACAATAAACGGTTTTATACTTTCTAAATGTATCATCCTGGGTGTTTTGTATTTCCCCGCTTCATGCTTAAAGTTAAAGGGGTTCACGGAATACACTACAACAATTACGGTGTGTTCACTTCCTTTAACAGCCTCATGTTGTCCTTTTTGTCCTCGGCAATGTTATTTATAATTAATAAAAAGTTCTTATACACATAAAATATACACATATATTATATGCAGTGACATTTCATACCTTTTCTAGAAAAACAGTACACTATGGCCATATTTTTTATGGTGCTGATCCAGAATCTTTCCTAAATTATTCATTAATTTTGCTTTAACAACAAAACAAAAATGGTAATGATAAATTGATAAACATTGAATTAATTTTAATGGAATAAAGCTGTTGAATTTGAACAGATATGTTAATTTTGCTGATGGGAAATCAGTATTTTGACATATTTAAAATGTAAATCTTCACAATCATAACCCTTTAGAATTTTCCATAGTTAACTTTGACAGAGTTATCGTAATAATACTTTATATATAATCTATAAACATGGCCACTGTAATTTGGCCATAGATAATTCGCTTCTTTGGCTCTGCATGAATTAAACCTCATTGAAATTGAAATGATTTTATACAGTTTGATTCTGAAGTGTATTTGAAATGTATCTTTGCAGTGACTTGCGACAACCTCATGATTTGAGACGACATTGAAGTGAACTGAATTGGATCTTTTACAGACATGCGGTTACTTTGCAGGTGAACACAAAGTCTACAAAACCACCTCTCGACAAGGCTGTCAAGGTTAAACTGGAAAAACCATCTTTGAAGAGAGAAATGGGTCTCCGGCAGCCTCGTGCCCTTCCACACTTTCATCATCATTCCCTCCTCTCGGGAGCTTTCACAGGTTTCACACATTGGATCCTGTGACCAAAACTAATTCTCTCTGACAGGTGGAGCGTTTATAGGTGAGAATACGTGTGAGTAACTCACATGACGCACAGTGGTCAGAGGGTTCGGTGACACACGTGAGGAGCAGTTGCCTCTATTCAAGCGCTTGGTGGCTGAAAACCTACATGTATTTTTTCCACGTGTATTTGGGAGTGCCCATCTTAAGTCATCGTATTATCTGGCACACATGAATATTTCAACGTTTCAAGCAGGGGGGAAGTGACCTGGTTGCAGATTTGTTACTATCTGTGACATCAGACTGGTTGAAAAATGAGGGAATGCGGGCAGAGAGCCGGAATGTATTCGATAAGTCAATTTCTAATATTCTTTAGCGATCACATTATGCTGCACATTCCTGATTTCAATAACTACAAAGTTTTCTGAGGACACTGAATCTCACAAGACCAGTTTAGAGGATAGTTTTGTCACGTCTGGGGAAATGTCTGGTGTCTCGTCATGTCTTGATTACCTATTGTGTACACCTGGGGTTCCCCTCCCTCATGTGTTTAAATAGTCCTCGTTTCCCATGTCCTGTGCGAGTGCGTTTTCGTCTTTCTGTTCTCGTCACCCCTCGCCAGGCCAGGTTTAATTTTGTCACAGCCATGCCATAGCCTAGTTTACTTTATTGCCATAGCCTTTGTTTTTGCCACAGCCATGTTAATCTTGTTTGTACTTTGCCATAGCCATGTTTTTGTCATAGCCATGTTTTGTCACAGTTTTGTTAATCTTGATTTGATACTTTTCCATAACCTTGTTTACTTTATTTGATACTTTGTGTTCATAATCTGGTTAACTTTGCTTTGTTACTTTGCTCATAGTTTTCACAGCCTTGTTTTGAACCATGTCTTCCATCCACTCGTTTTGAGTGCCTTTTGTTCCAATAAACCCCTTTTACTGAATCTCTCCGCGACTGAGTCCTCCTCAAGACACACCCTTCATGACGAGTTTATTGTCCTTTTGGAGAAAATTGACCAATATCTTCATTCTAAATGGTTGCGTTGTGTATTCACAAAATATATGAATGTACTGTTTGCATAAGCTCTACTTGGTTAAGGAAAAGACTTAAACATAGACTTACACAAACTGTATGCTGTCAGTGGAGGTTTAAATAGGAGAAGATCACCAAAAGACAGAAGAAGAGCCAGTTAGCCTCCTGCTAACAATCACAGCAGACTTGTGTGTGTGTGTGTACTCTGACATAACTGAGTCGGTTGTGAGTTTTGCGGCCTGCACGTGCACGTAGCTACGGTCAATTTCCGGTGATCACACACCGTTTGTAAAACACACCGTCAGATGACTGGCTTCCCTTTTGTTTTTTTAGGCTTGGACTTTTTGCTAATGGGCATTTCAACTGTTAAACCCTGAGCAAAAGGGGTTATGAAGTGTGAGGGCCACCACACCAGAAAACACACATACGTAGTGTGTGTATACAGAAAGAAGAATGATGACTCATGATGTGCTCACATCAACAAGCTGACGGACACATACAGTAAGTGGAAACCTTGAAATAGTTGCCCATAATTGATTGTGACTGTGTGTCAAAATGTCAAGAACAGTGGCTCTTTGTTGTTGTTTTCTTGTCGTTTTTGTCATCTCATGTTCACAATTTGTGCAGCCCCTTTAATTCCACACCAACTGAACCCTGTTCTCCTCCTTCTGGATGTTTTCCAAACCATCAGGGAATCCCTGAAACCTCCCTCTTGGCTCTCTGCAGCTCTGGCAGCTCCCTCCCTCCTCTTTTCCTCCCCCCATCCCCACACCCCTTCTCCATCCGCCTCCTCATTTGACAATCTGCAATGCAGTGCTGAGCGTCCTGCTCCTCCTCCTCCTCCTCCTCCTCCTCCAGGTCGGTCTCTGCAGCACCGAACGGCGGGGCTTTCCTCTCAGCCTGCGACTAACCATGCCTTTACACCCTTCCTCTTCCTCTCTCCCCCTCCATCCCCGCATCCTTCGCTCCTCTGCAGCATCGTGATGCCACTGCGCCCTCCAGAGGAAGACGGCCGACGGTCGTTTGAACTGGAAACTCGGGGGGGGAGACGGCTCACTCTGGACCGGGAGTACTTTTAAAATCAATAATTAAGCAGAACCCTCGCTGTAAAAATACAAGAATTTAAATTTAAATGAGGCACAGACTGTTAGAGATAAATGAGAGGAAACCACACATTGCCTAGAAGTGCTTTGGAATCTATTGGTTTCCTTTTCGGGAAACGTTTTTTTAAATGGCTCTGTACAAATTAGTCTAATCTTTTTTTTTATGAACTGAAATTGATTGCATTGCGACTGTATTACAATGAATTTGATTCTGTTTGGTTTGAACTTCACTGTATATTTGATTGGCAAAGAGGTGATATTGGTTGAGATTTGGTGCTATAAATAGATTAATTTATTTAACCAAACTCTGTTTTTGACATGCTGAGAAGCTCATAGTTAATTATCGGGCTGCTTCCTGCTTCTTTAGTGATACGGACTCTGTGGCCTTTCACGAAAATGGAAACATGCTGGGATCCTGTATGAAAACACACCACGTGATTTCTAGAGCTAAAGGGCTTGGATCACCCCTTAAAAGCCTGATCCAAGAGATTTTTTTGTTTGAAGCCTTTGACACTAATAAAATACAAAAAATTAATATATATTCATCATTTATTACAGTGCGATAGGTCAAAATTATTGTTGTGTGGTCTTCTGCCCAGTGTTATCATATTGGTTTACAACAAGGTTTTTACCAAGTTTTTAGCAATAAACGATGTAAAAGCCTCCAGATGCAACACATTTCAGAAACTGTGTGTATTAAATATGATACTTATGGCATTATAAGATTACGTGTGTGTGTGTGTTTGTTTGCTCTACTGTTACTCTCCTCTCTGCTGTCTTTTGAGTGAAAGAGCGTGGATCCCCATCTTACCTTGTGCTTTCAATTATGACAAGATGTGGAGAGGTCAGTCGGTTTAAAAAAAGACACGTTTGTGAGATGCTTCAAGTCAAAGTTGCTAACCATCGTCTTACAAGCTAGAGTCATGGCGGCATGTAGGGTTTTCCCACATCACCTTTACAATTTTCTCAGGTTTTATTACAGAAAGACTGAAATGATATAATCCAGCATATGTAGTTCCATAGGTCATGTTCCTGGAGTGTAACTTTATGACAGAGGCGTTATTTAAGATTTTTAACATGATAGTGTCTGAATGAAACATTTTTGTATATATTGTGTGTCCGTGTGTATGAGTGTGTACATGAGTGCATGTGAGATGAGGTTATGACTGTGTGTGTGTGTGTTAAAACATTTGTTAGCCCAGAAACTCGGCTGTGTTTTTGATCTGCTTTTAGTGTGTTTTCATGTAAAGCGCTTTGTGTTACTTTCTGGATGAACAAATCAGTTAAAACTGAGTTGAAATCACACTCAGAGGTACTTAATTCAGACAGAAATTAAATGCTGGGTGGAAACTCTATTTGGATTTGTAACAATACAGCAGGTTTTATTATCTTGTGTTTAATTAAAGTGTAATTCACAGAGATTTTGAGTGTGTGTGTGTTCGGTGTGAATTGGGGGGGGGGCAGGAGACCAGGAGGAGTTTTGTCCAAAGTCTTTGTTTTCTGGACCAAACTCCGCCCCAACCCGGGTCCTGAACCTTTATATTTCGGGTCGGCGCCAAGCTTCATGGCAACAGATCAAGTCAGCTCCCTGATTGGCTGCCTGTCCCGGGAGAACCCTGCCGCTGTCAGAAGTGCTGAGTGGACCCTCTTTTTCTAAAAAGGCCCCGCCCTCCCCGTCCCGCCCGGCTGGTTCATGGCCTCCCATTATTTAACAGATTTGTTTTTGCGTCCCGGCTGAACCTTCTAGTTTGTGAGGAAAAAACTGTAGTTGGGGGATCATATATGTGCCTCTGCGGGGACGCCGGGGGCATAACCTAACAAATGTGTGGGGTCAATTGGTAAGGACTACTTTCTGTTGTGTTCCTTGTGCAGAGGTATAGGGCGTACTGCTAAGTTGTGTGCTGAGGTGAGGAGTGAAGGTGATGGAGAGCTTGGATTTGGATAACCTCGACTGGGACTCTACGGTCCCGCTTTAAAAAAAAACGGCTAACTCTTTAAGCTGGAGTATTTCAGAGCCTCACAGTGAGAACTCGGACTCCTGATGAATTTGAGGCAAGTGTTTCTGGTTTGCCGGTTGTCGTAGATCTGCTTTTTTTTTAAATCAGTTTAAAACAACTTAGTAGTACCTCTATTCTCTCACCTGTGTGAGTGTTTGTAAAAATAAACTTCTCTGATGGATTACGAAGTTTGGGGATGAATGATTTTTTTTTTTCCGAGCTGAAACGGACGGAAGGGAGGAGTATGTGATGTTGATGATGCTGATGCTTCTGCCAGCTTGTTTGATAGGTGACAGAACAGATTATTAAGAGTGAGCTCCTCTTGCTAGCTGCCACGGGCTGGACTGGCGAGGAGAATGTCAAAGTTACCCGCTTCTTCTGACTCTAAGGACATCGGCCACCGGTCAGTAACAGAAAAACAACCAGCTGTGGAGGAAGAGGAACAGGTGGTAGGCTTGGATAGCGGAAGAACTTAGGTGACAGGAGAGAGAATCGGTTAGATGAAAGGGAAAACAGCTGCAAAAGCTGGATGGTGTAGCTCATGAGAAGGAGTTTTGAACTGAGGAGATGCAGGTAAGGCACTCGGCCTGCTTTCATCTCGAGTTTTCGGGAGAAGGAGACAAACCCAAAACGGCCGAGCAAAGAAAAACTCCAAATGGATCAATCTAAAGGGGACTAAACTATACTAAATGATATGTTTGGTCAAGTCAGGAAGAGGCAAAAAGCATTCAAATGTGCTGTGAAGCCCAGACCTAAGAAGATCTGAAGAAGAAAACATCTGAATCTGAATTCCTCACATCTGTCTCTGACATCTCCGAGGAGCCTTAGAAGACAGGACGAAGCAAAGGGGATGCCCGCTCCGATAGGGACAATGAAAGAGGGATCTGCCACAGGGAGGGAGAGAGCAGGGGGGAGCAGGGTCAGCTCGACAAACAATGTTATTCTCGGTACATTTAACAGCGAACCCTGCGGGCGACAACAAAAGGCAACCAGCAGGGCCCTTCCGCGTCTAAACGTTGCTAGATCTCTCTCTGGCTGGTTCGAGCGTGCTCGAACAGCACAAAGTCCAAACAATCGGGGGAGGTTTTTTTTTGGCTTTTCATTGTGCTCGGCGGCGGGCGGGCAGGCCCCACTTTTTTTTTTTTTCTAAAGACACAAAGGTCGCGCGGGCCCCCCACGAAAAAGCCGACGCTTTTCACGGCCAAGAAAAGGAGCCTAGAGGTACTGTCCTGCTCGCTCCTCTGGGCTTCAGAACCTGAGCCAGGACAGACAAACCGTGGTCAATCGTCCATTTCTGTGGAGGAGAAATGTTGAAGCTTGGAATATGACAGGGATATATATATTTTTTTTTGGCTCGACTACTCACAGATGATCTGACTTGACTCGTTTTAAGCGGGAATGAGGAACACGTGTGGGAAAAGGCTAATTGAACATGCCGGTGAATGAAACCAGTCATGTTAGATGGAGGCCTTGGACTGTTTACAATTCAGTTCAATCATTTTTGCAGTCTTTCTCTAAAAATCAGCCTTGCATTGCGTAATCTCTTATTTTTTTCTGGCAAGTCAGAGACCAAGGCCTAAAAGAACCGTTTTGCCCGATTGAAGAATCATTCAGATGCATTGTGGCCTGAGTGGAATGTTTTTGGTCTCTTCCAAAGTGGATCACAAGTTCATTGTTTGTCCCAGGTGTACTTCAGTTTATGCAAACTGGAGGTTTCTTTTCATCACAGATGAGTTTTGATGTTGGAGTTTTTTCAAATGCAGGCTGATGGATGGGTTTTTCTTTGGTCTGTCACCCTGAGCTGTGCCAGACGCTGGCTGGTTGTTTCCCTATTGGCCTTTGGAAGATGTCAACACGAAATAGTGAAATGAGTGAATGGGAACTGAATTGAAAGCTTAAAAAAATCAATTACGTTAAAAAATCTATACATTTGCTTGTCATTGTTGTTGTTTGTTTGAAAAAAAAAGACAAATGAAAATATTTTTTCGAGAAGCATCCGATTCGGCAAAGACTGAAATGATGTGTCTCACCTGCTGGAAGTATCTCAACCAACCAACCAACGTTTTTAGGATTTGGTCACGATTAAAAGGCACCAAATATTTCTGAAAAAGAGATATCTATTTGGTCTTCCTGCAGGTTATTGTGGCCACAGAGGATGTGGAATTTTCCCCTGTGTAATGATCTGTGACTTTATTATCTTGGTTAGAAGTAAGAGATTGAAAAACAACTGGCTCACATCATAACCAAACTGTGAGATTTTGTTTTTATTATCTGCAGCTTACACTTATGAGCACGTTAATAGGTGGAAAGTGTTTAGACTCTGGCCTACATCTTAACCACAGTCATTTTGACATTCAACTGTCAACACAGTAAACATTCTTGATTTTAAAAGAATTGATTGAACAATATAATGTGAATTCACAGGGAAGCTCTGAAGAAATTCATATGTAAAAAAAAAGGAACAAAGTAACACTTTAGTTTAGCTCTTATCTTAGTTATTAGTTGGTTAAATTCTGATAGCAAAAAGAGAATACATGGAATTTTCCTGCCGTGTGGATCCTAATCCCAGGGCCCTAACTGATCTGTGTTTCCCGCAGGTTTCCCAAGGGGACGCTACTGAGAAGCTGGCTCACCAAGTCGCGGCCCAGGTTGCTGCTGCTGATCGCAGGGTTGAAGAGGCCCCAGGTGACCCTCATGAGGAGGAAAAGGATGAAGCGCACAAAAGTAGCAAAGGCCACGTAAGCGGTAAATAAGGCTTATGTTGCATGGAGGAATGCTAAACCCCAGCACCAACGGAGGCGGGAATTTGGAAGGGGGAGCGATCTCTTTCTCTAACAATTTGCACAATTTGATTTCGAGCGTCGTGCGTCAACGATGACATCATAGAAAAATCTGAATTCATTTGTTGGGCCTATCGTGGCATCTCTCAAGCTGAACGAATACATCTCAGCAAGGGCTTAAAATGTCCAAAAGATAATGAACTGATTGGCAAGCTGAGTCAACTATGACTGATTTAAAAACTGAAGAAAAATTGGGTTTTTCGGATTTGTTTGAATTCTCCACAGCAGCAAAAACTATGGTCTCCTCCTTCTTTCGGAACCTTTAACGTTAATGACTTCTAATAGGAGCTTAAACACACCATATATGAGGATCATTCAATTCTTCTCATCATCATTGAGTTCATTTATCTGATCAGAGGAAAAGCTGAAAGAGTAAGCAGGATTTAAAGGCAACATTTTAATTCAGTTAAACTTTCTTAATGAAAGATGCTTGATTGAAATATTTTTGCTTGGTTACCACTTTATGTCATGTTGTGGAACTAAGATCAATCTGCCTAACTACCACCTACAAATATTCCACAATGGATGCTATTAAGGTAGCGCTTTCATTCGTGTTCATGGGGTTTGGTGTTCAGCATGTGGTTGTTAAAGACAAGAACCCAGTTTTTTTTTGTCCGTCTGTGTCACGGTGAACTAAAAGAGGTCTTGGCCGAATGAGACAAAACTGACGTGGACCATCAAATGTTCCATCTTTTTCCCTTACAGAACCTGCAGCCGAATGCCCCACTTCACCTGAGTCCTTAGCAGAGGCCACCTGCTCGTTAGACATGGAGGACAAAGAAAAGGAGGACCTGTGTGCAGCATCACTGCTCCGTAAAAGAACTAAAATCCGCGAACCGAAAACCAGATCCGAGCTGGAAAACGAACCACAGAGATTGAGACCTCCAGATTAATCAGAACGCACTCTGTCTCCTGGATGCTTTCCTTTCAAATACACACACGTTTTGACCTAACAGACCGTAACGACTGTGGCTTTGTACATCATTCCTAACCCATCAGAAGGCGTTGGTCAAACAAAGCTTGCTGTAAAACAAGTATGTTCATAGTTCTAAGCTGCAAGTTTGAGTCTCGGATGAGCTCAGACCCAGCCGCTCATTAAACTCTGCCTTTTCCAGCCTCACATTCTTCTGTCGGATTCAGACGTTTGCTCACTTTCATGCAAAGCTTCACAAGAAACATGCAAACCTCAGCACATCTGAGCTAACATGGATACAAACGGTAGCAAAATTGTCAGTTAAAAGAAAAATAAGCATTAAATTGAAGCTCATTTAACAAGACATACCTTCAATTTCTGTGCCGTTTTCCATACAACAAAGAAATTATATCAATTTCTTTGTCATATCATTCATCATTTCATAGATATAACTCAATGGATAAGATTAACTTATCATTATGACAGGGCAAGGGGGGAAATAAAATGAATACCTGATTTCTCAACCCCATTTGCTTTGATAATTCAAATAAAGAACTTACATAATACATGTCAGCTAACATCTAGTTTCCATCTTAAATGGGCCATGTGTGGCTGCTCATTTTAGGAGACTCATAACTGCTACATTTGGATTCAATGGGACATGAGAACCTTCATTTTGTGGATTTAAAACCAGGATCACTAGACCAGCTTTTAGTTTAGTTAGTAAAATAAACAATATCTTTTATAGTAAATGTGCTTAATCCTCAATTACAACAACTTGCTATTTGGAAATGTTCCAATAAATGCTTTAAGTGGAACTCAGTCTGCACGTCTCCCTTTTTTAAATACATGGTTTAGTAAATAACTTTTAGGAGGAGCTCTTAAATGGGGTTTGGTGGCTCTTAAAAGAGCCTTTTTTTTGCGCTTGCGCAGCCCGGAAGGCTTAAGCCCTCTCCCCGCGGATGCGGCGGGCCAGCTGGATGTCTTTGGGCATGATGGTGACCCTCTTGGCGTGGATGGCGCACAGGTTGGTGTCCTCGAACAGCCCCACGAGGTAGGCCTCGCTGGCCTCCTGCAGGGCCATGACGGCGGAGCTCTGGAAGCGCAGGTCGGTCTTGAAGTCCTGCGCGATCTCCCTGACCAGCCGCTGGAAGGGCAGCTTGCGGATGAGCAGCTCGGTGGACTTCTGGTAGCGGCGGATCTCCCTCAGGGCCACGGTTCCGGGCCTGTAACGGTGAGGCTTCTTCACGCCGCCGGTGGCCGGCGCGCTCTTGCGGGCCGCCTTGGTGGCCAGCTGCTTCCTGGGGGCCTTGCCTCCGGTGGACTTACGGGCGGTCTGCTTGGTCCTGGCCATTGTCTGTTGCTTCTACTTTCTCCCTAAAAAGTGGATATGACCGTTGCAAGGGGACGTCCCGGCTTTAAATCCGGCGGAGCCGTGACGCAGCGTCGGAACTCCGGGCTCCTGATTGGAGAGCGGCTCCTCCAGCGGCTCCTCCTGCAGCTGGACCCCGCCTAGAATAGCCCAGCTCCGCCTAGAGGAGCCCAGATCCCGCCCGAAGGAGCAATGCGCATTGGAGGAGAGTCCCTTCTCAAAGTTTGCGCGCAAATTCGAATCTGTGCGCCCCCACCGCTGCTCGCCTGGAAGCCTCTTTCCTGGTTGGTTGGTCCTTTCGGATCCGTCCCGCGCTCTTAGACATATAAAGAAGGGAGTGAACGATCCCTGACACATTTTCTCTGAGTTCTAACTCAAGTACAGAGACCAGAAACATGAGCGGAAGAGGCAAAACCGGAGGAAAGGCCAGAGCCAAGGCCAAGACCCGCTCCTCCCGTGCGGGGCTCCAGTTCCCCGTGGGCCGCGTGCACAGGCTGCTGCGTAAAGGAAACTACGCGCAGCGCGTGGGCGCCGGCGCCCCCGTGTACCTGGCGGCCGTCCTGGAGTACTTGACCGCCGAGATCCTGGAGCTGGCCGGGAACGCGGCCCGCGACAACAAGAAGACCAGGATCATCCCGCGCCATCTGCAGCTGGCCGTGCGCAACGACGAGGAGCTCAACAAGCTGCTGGGGGGGGTCACCATCGCCCAGGGCGGCGTGCTGCCCAACATCCAGGCCGTGCTGCTGCCCAAGAAGACCGAGAAGCCCGCCAAGTCCAAGTAAAAATTGTTTAATGGACACCCAAACGGCTCTTTTAAGAGCCACACACTTCCCACAACGAGCTCTGGTTCCTTGATTCGTTTAATTTAATTCAAATGTTATTTGTACTAGTTTGCCCACCAAAGTTAGGCTTTTATAAGACTTGAGTTGCTCTAAGATGAAGGTAGGATGGATAATAATGTTATTTTTGCATGAAAACGAGGTTTAAGGATCATTACTGTTCGTCTTGTGCGCTTTTTAGAGAAACAAAACTATCGAATCTGGATATTTCTGGGTTGCTGTCCTGCAGGTTTTTTTAGATGTTTCTGCACATTTACACTTTAGAGCAGAACTGAACAATGTTTTGAAGAGATCTGCTCAATTTAAGCCGGACAACGCAGCGTTTGGCCCCCAAACGTCTCACGTTTGCGCCATTCGTCGGTGGGCGGCGCTGTGCTGAAAAGTGGAATCCTAAGGAGCCCGCCTCTGTCTTCAACCACGTCGTCAGATGGCTGAAACCCACAGCCCTCCCCGGCCAAAGTCTAATGTCCCACTTGAGTAAAAATGATGATCCATTAATCTGTTTTAGTCCAACCGGGATCGTTTTTACTGTTACCCAGCACATTTCTGCAGACCACAATATATCCACCCCATAAGAGTAACAGAACTTGATTCAGTAGAAAAAGAAAAGTGTACTTTATGGATGTTCAATTGTTTGTGTGTATATATTTCTTATGCATTTGTAACGTTTAAATTAGGAACTTTATATTTGAGAGCTTTTAAATGCACACTGGCAAGGGGTGAATTTTTCTTTGAGGTCTCTGGGGAAAACGATTTAACATAGAAAATTGAAGTATCCTTTTCAATCTGAAAATGAAGATATTTGTAATACAAGATTATTTTTTAGGATATTTAATCTGACATACAAGAATGGGCTCAATATTAAAGGTCTTTCACTCAGAAAGTGAAATTGATCTTGTTTTCCTTCTTGTTATTGTAAGTATGATTATAGGAAATGCAGATATATCTGAATTGACCATAATTGTTTAAGGTTTTAATCAAGATCGCTACAATAGACTCTATATTGTATAAAGAATAATGATCAGAAAAGAAATGTAGTACATTTTCTCTGTTGTAAGTGGTCACATTTCTAAACATTGACAAATATAATTGTTATATGGACAACCACACATACAACCACCTGGAATCATTTTTCAAAAGTGTGCAAACTGTCCACCAATGAGCCAGTTTTCAGTTTTTTTAAAGGATGCTGTTCATTTGACACCTTTTATTAGATGTTCTGTTGTTTTTAAGAGAAGCTTTACAGCTTATACGTCTGAAACTGAGAGCTCTATGGTTTGAATAGTTTATTTTTCTAAATGGCTACATCAATGATCTTGAGTGTGGGTGGTTATCTGACAGATGATGAGCTCAGTGGACTGGTTTGGGAACACCCAGTTTTCTTTATCATTCATTATTACATGCGTAATCTACCAAATTCTTCAGATGGACCAAGGAGAGTAACAGATTAGGGTAGTGCAATAAGCAAGCTGGTTTAATTTTCAATTAAATACACAGCTCAGAAAACACAACAAAAAATGCCACCATGCAAAATGATTTATGATTTTATACAATCTTCCCATGCATTTATTACAATCCAATTCATGGCTCCTGTTGTGGTCCCTGCCTCCATTGGGCAAGAGCCATGGTGTCTGTATTTTGTCATGTATAAAGACAATAAAGAGACGGATTTGGTCGTATTGCTACAGGAAGCGTCAACGAGCCAAACAGGAAAACGCCTCAAAACTCAGTTTTTTGTCCTTTTGATTTCAGCAATGTTCGATAGAAAATGCTCCGGAGTCGCTGGATTTGAAATTGGTTTGTCTGAGTGACAGCTGAGAGCGATAAAAGCCATTGCTGTGGGAGTCCAGCGGGCTGTCTGACACCTACAGATAAACGTAGAAGAGAGGGAGAAAATAGAGATTACATCTTTAAATATATTTTCACATAATCTCAATTTCAGCTCCAATCCAACAGTTTAATAAAATTGTACTTTAACTATTCTTTTCCAATCAAACGAATGATAAATTTGGACAATTTAGTCATCATTATTA